ACTGTTTTTTTTAAAGTTAATTGTCCTGTTACTGCAACAAAAATGCAGTAATGTCACTGTTGTTGTGATATTTAAAGCTAAGCTTCTGCACAGACAACTGACTGACTGTACGTGTGTGTGTGTGTGTGTGTGTGTGGGGAGGGGGGTGTTGATGTGTCAAAGTAGCTGATACAGTAACTTGTAGTCACAACTTTAGATGAGGACTGTGATCACCTTTATACAAAACCCAGGCAGCCACCAGATGTCCATATCCATGTAAGGAGTGTGCGCAGTGGAAGAGGGGGAGAGCGGGCACAGTGGAAGAGGGGGAGAGCGGGCACGTCTTATTATCTCTAGTGACAGCTGAGGCAAATGTGGCATTCCAGGCCTTCACTTTTCTGATGTGTCTGTCGGCCTGTATCAGGGTCTGTGTATCTGCAAGTGTATCTGTACATGCTTAAAAGCCAACTTTCTTCAACTTTCAAACTGACCAGATGGTGTCAGCATCCTATTGTGATTTTTTTCTTTTATTGATTTAGGATAGGCCTGGCTTAAAAGTCAAATTTTCTGCAATTAAGGAAGAAGAAATTAAGTTAAGTACAAGTTTTTCTGTACAACATACACATTCTTATTTGCCTGGAGATGGTATTCCCATCAGATTCTTCAGAATTATTTGCATAATGTGTGGCACCAGAACAACGCAAATAACAGCTCGTGCCTCGGTCAACAAATCAAATCAAGAGGGAAAATTATTAAATCATCCCATCTGCCACTCTCAGTCTCATGTGTTTGTCTGAAGAGGATGTCCCTCCCTGATCTAATGATGTGTGTGTGTGGCTGTTTCTGGGCTGGACCAGACCTCTTAGAAGTGAATCATGGAAATGGTACATCCAAGAATAATAATGATCCAGTGATGACAAAAATGTAGGCCTTCTGCTACTTTACTCGCCTCAATTAGGCCTCTTTAGTAGTTACAGTGAGTTAAAGATGGATGGATTATTTAAAATTGTAGGGCTTAAATGCATATACATATGCTTTATCACAGACCATTTTTTGCTGGTAAATATGAGATTTTCCATGATAGAAAGAAAACAAACAGCTCTAACAGAAGTTGAAATACATAAGTAAACTACTTGGAATAAACTGATTAAATCAGAAAAGCTGATGGTGACAGAACCTTGAAGGACAGAGCAGTATAACACTTACATGAAATACAAACCTTTATGTGCCAGCTGGCTGACAGCAAGCACCGACTTAAATTATAGGGGCCATAAGATTAAGACCTGATCTTTATCAATGCCCTTATTCCACCCTGAGGCTTAGACTTACTACTTTGTTCTGGGGCAATATTTTCATTTCAACTGCTTCCATGTACAGTGCCTTACGAAGGTATTCGGCCCCCTTGAACTTTGACCTTTTGCCACATTTCAGGCTTCAAACATAAAGATATAAAACTGTAATTTTTTGTGAAGAACCAACAACAAGTGGGACACAATCATGAAGTGGAACGAAATTTATTGGATATTTCAAACTTTAACAAATAAAAAACTGAAAAACTGGGTGTGCAAAATTATTCAGCCCCCTTAAGTTAATACTTTGTAGCGCCACCTTTTGCTGCGATTACAGCTGTAAGTCGCTTGGGGTACGTCTCTATCAGTTTTGCACATCGAGAGACTGAAATTTTTGCCCATTCCTCCTTGCAAAACAGCTCGAGCTCAGTGAGGTTGGATGGAGAGGGTTTGTGAACAGCAGTTTTCAGTTCTTTCCACAGATTCTCGATTGGATTCAGGTCTGGACTTTGACTTGGCCATTCTAACACCTGGATATGTTTATTTGTGAACCATTCCAGTGTAGATTTTGCTTTATGTTTTGGATCATTGTCTTGTTGGAAGACAAATCTCCGTCCCAGTCTCAGGTCTTTTGCAGACTCCATCAGGTTTTCTTCCAGAATGGTCCTGTATTTGGCTCCATCCATCTTCCCATCAATTTTAACCATCTTCCCTGTCCCTGCTGAAGAAAAGCAGGCCCAAACCATGATGCTGCCACCACCATGTTTGACAGTGGGGATGGTGTGTTCAGGGTGATGAGCTGTGTTGCTTTTACGCCAAACATAACGTTTTGCGGATTGTTGCCAAAAAGTTAGATTTTGGTTTCATCTGACCAGAGCACCTTCTTCCACATGTTTGGTGTGTCTCCCAGGTGGCTTGTGGCAAACTTTAAACGAGACTTTTTATGGATATCTTTAAGAAATGGCTTTCTTCTTGCCACTCTTCCATAAAGGCCAGATTTGTGCAGTATACGACTGATTGTTGTCCTATGGACAGAGTCTCCCACCTCAGCTGTAGATCTCTGCAGTTCATCCAGAGTGATCATGGGCCTCTTGGCTGCATCTCTGATCAGTCTTCTCCTTGTATGAGCTGAAAGTTTAGAGGGACGGCCGGGTCTTCGTAGATTTGCAGTGGTCTGACACTCCTTCCATTTCAATATTATCGCTTGCACAGTGCTCCTTGGGATGTTTAAAGCTTGGGAAATCTTTTTGTATCTAAATCCGGCTTTAAACTTCTCCACAACAGTATCTCGGACCTGCCTTGTGTGTTCCTTGTTCTTCATGACGCTCTCTGCGCTTTAAACGGACCTCTGTGACTATCACAGAGCAGGTGCATTTATACGGAGACTTGATTTCACACAGGTGGATTCTATTTATCATCATTAGTCATTTAGGTCAACATTGGATCATTCAGAGATCCTCACTGAACTTCTGGAGAGAGTTTGCTGCACTGAAAGTAAAGGGGCTGAATAATTTTGCACGCCCAATTTTTTTAGTTTTTTATTTGTTAAAAAAGTTTGAAATATCCAATAAATTTCGTTCCACTTCATGATTGTGTCCCACTTGTTGGTTCTTCACAAAAAATTACAGTTTTATATCTTTATGTTTGAAGCCTGAAATGTGGCAAAAGGTCGAAATGTTCAAGGGGGCCGAATACTTTCGTAAGGCACTGTATGTCAGGCCTTTTTCTCCTTCTATAGTTGAAATGGTACCATAAACTGCATGCCAAAACATACTGTTAAATTCTGACCTAGCTTATTTGGCAAGAACACTGTATATACCAACGATGAATACCCAAAGGTAATATAGTAACATAAACCAACTGATTTTGAGGACAAATATAACTAATCTCAGTTTTCACCAATTTATTCTGGCCATGTCAACAAACATGCTAACGTTTCATCCGAGTGACGGTCATCAGAGCATTGGGAAAAATGGAAGACATCTCATTTATATACAGGAGTTGGCAAGTGATTGGCTTGAATGTATGATTAGTATAGTAACACTCAAATTATTTTGTTATGCATTTTGACATGACATTGTGTCCCGTTTATAATTTCCAAGACAGGTATTTGAGGGGACAACTAATCACTGTGAAGACTTTAAGGCTGCTTCATTGTTAAGTATCTCAAATAGTATCTGATCATACCCGGTCTTGTTCTTGTCTAGCAGGCTGGGAGCCATTGCTCTGATGTAGGCACAGGTACAGATCAGGAGGAGAATCACTGTGAGCAGTGACTGGAAGTTGAAAATGGCCGACTGCAAAATGAAAGAGAATTATATATTTAGTACAGACATAATAAAGTGCATTTTACCAGCAACAAGTCATAAAACCCACTGAATTCACCTTAATTAACTTTCTGTGTGTACATATACTAATTTACAAGACCAGCCACATGCCTAAACAGGTATTGTGGTTTCAGAAAAATCCAAATCTCATACTGCATATACATTTACTCATTTGGCAAACACTTTTATCCAAAGCGACTTACATTTGTGGAACAACATACAAGCATAAATACAGTAAGAGGTTCACAAGTGACAACAGATACTTCCATGTACCAAAATGGAGACCCAAGTCTGCTCTGATTTTTTTTTTTTATGAAACCCCTTCTGGACCTTCCGTTTATACTCAGAAAATTATGTGCATTAATCCAAAGAGACAGTGTCTGTTCATGTAATATCATTCTGGGATGATCTCATATGCACCCTTAACTAATAAAATCCAGAATTTACCTTTTGAATATTACATATCACTAACATAGTGATAGACACGCTTTTAGGATAATTCAACATTAGTATACATGTCAAAAGAAAAAAGTATAAACAAAAGAATCATTTTTTGCCTTGGCACTAATTACACTCCTGCCACAACAAATATGTACAATAATGTTACCATGACCTTGATGCTGGCTAAATTAATGCATGATAAGCAATTTTAAATGTATGTACAATTTGTTTATTTTGTACTTTGTGATGATATGTGATGTCTTCCAGGTGCCATTATCCATCTTACCTGTTGGTTGATGCTACTTGTTTGGTTTAAAATGAAACCAAAGCGTTTAATCAATTGTCTACTTAACCTTAACATTTCTGTCACATAAGGTCTTCGGTTGCGTAATGCCAGTTCACAATATGTTGCTGAACTACACACACATACTTAATGCTCCATGGTCTCTGGTGTGCCTCAGCTACGTGGCACACACAGCCCTCAAAACAGTACGATGTTTGCATTCATTATTTAGTGATACCTTTATCCTTTGTTGTCAAACAACTCGCGTTGACACACGACCGTAACTTACGTGATGATATCCATATATAAAATAATGATATTTAAGAACAGAAACATGCTGTGATCGCTAGATAGCTAAACTTTTAGCCAATCTAATCTAGCCAATGCTAGCTAACGCTAGGTAGTTTAGCATTTACTACACGCCCCGCTTTACACCGAAGGCTAGCATAAGGTGTTGTCACAGAGTACTGCCGACAGACATTAGGCGAAGAATGCGTGTTTTAGATAATGCTTAAAAGAAGCAGCAAAAGAGCAGAAGCTTCTGCTTAATAAAAACAAGCTTACCATTTTTGTTGTGAATCAAAGCCACAACACACTTCCTGCTCTCTGGAACTTACGTAACCAAAGAGGTTTACGTAACGTCATTACGCTCTGCTCAACAAAACATCGTTTGCTGATTGGCTGAGAACACCAAGAGTTGAAGGTTGAATCTTCTGTCAAAAACTGAGAGAACGGTAATTTTCACTTTCACAAAAAAAATCGCTTCACTTGGACGTCGCAGTAGTTTGCCCATACAATACCGTAAGTCTTTTGAGGAAACGTTGTACATAAGTGTTTTACCCACACATAAATCATAGAGAAATTTGTCCGACTGTACGAGAAAACTCCTGTAATATTCAAGCACCGCGGATCCACTGCAGCAGGTTAAAGATTCAGCGCCCAGCTCGGCGCCTTGCCGTTTAAGTAACGTTATTATCTGCACCAATAATATTACCATACTTTGTTCCAACATGGTGCACCAGTGAAGAAAGAAGAAGCTAGTTAGACTGCGCTTGCAGGATGCGGAAGTTGTTACAATACTATATTGGTGTAATTAGACTGTGAATAATAATCAATATATATCTTCTGTTATGGGAAAGAGAAGGAAGTGAACATCTGAATCATGCAAATACAGTGCCCAAATACTGCTTGAGTAGTTGTTCACCAGAAAGTTGATTGATCATGTAAAGGCATTTGACAGTCACACTGCACAGCTTTCAAAATGTAAGCATTTGCTTGAATTTGGCTATTTCACAAAGTGTAAGTTTAATTCTTTTGTAATTTTGACGCTTGGTCAGACAGCAATTTCAACATCACTTTGGGCGCCGTAATTTGAGATGCACATCGTTTTTGACATGATGTACACTTAACAATTAAGGAAATAAACAAAAAAACAATCCTTAGTTTGAATCCTATAGAGAAATGTATTTATTCATTATTAATTTATTTATAGGTTGATAGTCTAATAGACTTTATTCTCTCTTGATGACGAAAAACAGGCATTTTTGTGGTCAAGAGTTTTCACAATGAAGTCCCCTCCCTCCAGCCAGCCAGCCAGCAGCATCTTGATTGCATTTAAGCCATGTTTTGTAAATCCCCCTGGGGCCTTCCTTCCCAGACACTCCTCGACAGCTCTTCATGTAAGAAGAAATCTGTCAGATTTTAAACCACACATAAATTATGTTTTGCATATTTCACTACAAGAGTGTGGATAAATAATATAAAGAGCCTAAGTCTTCGAATGGAGACTTTGGTTCCTAAGAGTAAGAGATGAGCAAGAGTAAGCTTTAAACAGACTCACATTCCTCTTAATGTGATTTAAGTTTTATTGTTTACAGTGCACTGACCAATCAAGGCTACAGTGCATGCATGTCTGATTACTGCAATCAAATCTAGGCTTGATGTAGCCTCAGTATGTGTAATCTTTTTCTGTTTGTACAAAAGTGAACATAAGCTCAAACTGTTTTGTATAACATGATGCCAAGAGTAAAACTATATTCAAGCAATGGCAATATTCGTTTTGAATTTTGATTGTAGGGAAAGTAATACTGGAAGCACTGCAGTGACAATGGTCAATTACTATCTGCTGCAACATAATAAAATTATCAAACAACCACATGTAAAGCTCATCAAGCCCGGCGGCTGCAATCACACATCAAGTGAATCATTTACATATAAGAGGGTTGGGTATGGCAATACTTTAACGTGTCATGACTGGTTTGATTCTGTATTTAGTAAATGGAAGGCCTTGGTGATGTCAAAGAAGACTCACTTGAAGTTTAATTTCCATTTCACTTGGTGTCAGAAGTGGGATCATTTGGCGGCAGTTTTGACCCTCAAACAGAATAATGTATTGTGCCAACTCTATATTTTTACCCAACCTTACTCTTAAGTGAGAATTGCCTTACATTTGCGATTGAGCATGGCTTAGGTTTTCACAACTGCAACTTATATGTGAATTTTGGAGCTGTGAGAATGACCTGTTATTGTGCAGCTGAATCCAGTGTTAGCAAGATGTTGTAACGTACCAGTGGTTCTCAAACTTTTTCTTTCACGCTGCCATTCAGAAGCCGTAAATAGTTCATGCCTGACACCCCAGCAAAGGTGGTATTATTTTGTATTTATTTATCATTAACAATACAAGTGATTGAAATTAACAAGACTCAGGTTAGCAAAATAGACTTGCTAGCATCAGAGCACTTTTGTTTGTTTATGTCACCACATGAATTACATTCATGCAACTTAGGTCCGCTCAACATCCACAACCCCCTGTAGTGGCTCTATGCCCCCCCCCTCCAAGGGGGCCCCCCCACAGTTTGAGAACCACTTCATTATGTGGAAGAGCTGAGGTCAGGAGGACAACACTTGCAGGCTAGCAATGTATGTTTTTTTAAAGGATTGCCCTCTTGTTGAAATTAGTCATCACTTCAATGATTTGAATGTTTGTTGGTCGCTGTTCGACCAGTGTAGTGTAACTCACTACTGTTAGTTTCAGCAGATTACTTTTTTTTTGCAAACATCCGGTGGCACAGTTTTTATTCCCTAATGTGTTAATGACTTAAGTAATATTTATTCCTTGTGTGAGTTCAATGGAATTTGAATTATGTAAATTTAGGATTTATCGCATACGCTATCTAGCATACTTTTATTGTGGACAAGGACTCCGTTAGATCAGCTTGCAAGACCACATAACTTCTTCAGCAAAATTATTCTGTTACAATAGCTCTTTTGTTGCTCAGTTTCTGTTCTCACTCCATTTGTTACGTAGTGGCTTAACAGTGTCATCACAGCTAGCAATTAGAGTTAAAATTGTTATTCTCGTTTATGTGAAGGCAGTATGTTCACTCGGAAGAGTACAGAGACAAATGCATTGTAGTAGCTTTTGCTGTTTTAACCACATAATAATAATATGAATAAAAGAATATACCTTGCCAGTGATGTTTGAGGTGTGTGTCACCAATCTCAAATGTTTGTGCTATGTTGTGGTGACAAGAAATTGGAGGAGTTCAGAAAAACATAGTTTCAGCATGTAAGCAAAGGCACATCTTGTCATACAGCACGAGATGGAGCACGACTCTGTCGCATTAGCACCTCATGACTATCTCCTCTACAAGCAGCAAGAATATTAGTACTAAAAGTGTCTATGGTTAAATTACAGTGTTTTTTCAAATGTGCTCTTTGAGGCATGCAGCAATAAAGTTATGGTGACACTTGACTAATTCTGCCTCAGACATGGTATAAGCCAGTTCAGACAGATTTGTGGACACACGATATATTGTAATACTTGTTATATTTTACTAACAATGTTTCTGTTTGTCAGGTGGCTTACAAATACCTGATAATCATATTGAATTAAAGGCTATGGGACAGTCTGCTGCTGGTTAGAACAGCACTGCTTTAATCTCTGACTGATCATGATAACAGTGAACCAGCCTAAGAGTTCTCCTTTTTATCTTGAAACCTTTGTATAAGAGAAAGCATTCGGGGAAAGTCCAGTGAAAGGACAGTCGGAGCACGGGCCTAATTGTCAGGACCCATTAAAGGGACAGTTAACTGCCTTTTTCTACTGTGTATGAGCTCCTAATTTAAGACACACTATGCATAATTAGAGGCTTTCTTTGTGACTTATTTGCAAGGTACTTCCTGCACACAGTTATGTCTTACGGTTTTCATATGCAGTGATGCTGAAGAAATGACAATGAAAAGGTTCAGCAAAAGTATGAAAGTATGAAAAGAGGATAAAAGCTGTCAAAGCTGTAGGGGAGATTTGGTTGATGATTTAAGCATCCCAGTGATTGTGTCTGCCGATCAAGTAACTAAACACGGAAGAGTTCAGGATTGACTTTGAAGGTTTTGCACAGCTCTTCATTCTTGACAGACAGTGCTGTTTATTTAATTGGAGTGTCCTACTGTCATTACCACAGGGTCATCGTCCCTGCACAACAGATGTTACAGTAAATAATGAGTAGCTGGGCTTACTTTATGAGGTTAAAGTTGAACCCTTCAGCTCCCTCATCTTGTTCAGCCCCTTCGTCCAGCCACACCCCTTCTTGAAGCACAAAGGGTCAACTTTAATCTGTTGGATGGTCCTTTATGCATCTGCACATGTGCATGCTGTGAGTGTGTGTGTGTGTGTGTGTGTGTGTGTGTGAAGGGGTGGTGGGGGGGAGTATAGGTTTGTGGCAAATCTCTGCTGTGTGTCTAATTTAGAATAACCTTGACAACCTGCTCTGTCAGCGTATATGGTGGGGGATGCAAAGAAAGAATACAAAAAAACGTCCTGTCACGTCCTAACTTATAGCACAGTGTCCAAAGGCGCTCATTTTCATATTTTCAAACATGTCCAGCTTGGCTAACTGCCAATTTAGCTGTCCTTTTCCCTCCATCTCCACACACGTTGCCCTGTAGTTAAGTATGGAAGATATCCAACTCACCTCTCACTTCTCATGGAAGCTGTAATCACATGTTCTGTCCTGGACATCCGTAATCAAGTAAAAGTTTCTCAAGCCCTTTAAGAAGACAATGATGTGTAGCCAGTCAACCAAAAGGAAATTTCAAGGACAACCTAATGGATCATTTGTAATCTCTTGTAACTGATCAGTTGCAGTGTATATATTGTATATATTTACAAAATAAAAGAGCATGCTTTACTCATCGTGGTCTGGCATGGCCATGGATATGTTATGCTGTAGACATAGATGATTGACATTTCTCTCCTGCACGTTGCAATCCCTTAGATGTGATTGAATGCATAACTTATAAGGCTGTCATTGGTATTTGCTTCCTTATTTCAGACATGATGCCTCTTCTGGAAATATCCTATTTCTCCAAACACTCATGCAGCTTCCGATAAAAATTTTTTTATCTAGAGTGTGATGTGCGAGTCATTTTGCTGGTGGTCAGGAAGCTCACACTCCCACGCAGGAAAACAGCCAAAAACTGTTAAACTCCATGAGGTTCCACTGACTCAGAGAGACCCCCATAGGGATGATTATCTCTAAATCCAAGTAGTGAAACAATGAGGCGCATTGATGCAACTGGAAGATTAACACAGCCTTACAACATCAAAATGGAATGATTGGAGGGAAGTCTTTGAAGGAGGGCCTAGGACCAAATACAACAGAATATCCTGAATACAATGCAATAGGAAAAATGTACTATAATTGCACCTTGTTAAGAGTTTCTTAACTCCTATCTTTGATTTTCTGCAGATCATGAGTGGTGCAGTCAGAGAGATCACTGTAACTACTGATCCAGGCACCCCGTACTTCCTGCGAGTGGACTGGGCCGTAGATCTGGGTGCTGGGTTCACACTGGCCCTCACTGATGGCAACTCAGCATGGATCGGAGAAGGTAAAGATTTCAGATATGCAAACTGTACAAGAGCACATAAAGAATTGAGGACCACTGAAATTATTCACAACAAAACAGTCTCAGTCCACGTTTCTCGTGATTGAACCCACAACTGTAGGCTTATATGTGCTACAAAGACTTGCATCTATTGACTATTGACTAGACTCCGGGTTGTCACCTGGTCTACAATTCATCAGGCTGTCCACACTGTGCAGGCACCTGGCTGAACCTCATCTCATAATATTGTAATTATTGGTCCTTTAACCAGAGGGACAGAAGTGACCTTGTTTCGTCATCCCTCCTCACTCCTGTGCTGCAGCTTACAGGTGTATAAAGTAGATTAAACTCTACAAGGCTAGTCTTTGTATGTGCATGTCAGTGTTCAGTGTGTGTGCGCTTACATATGGACATTTTCTCTGGAAGGACACCTGGAACATAACTGCTCCCTAGTTTTCTATTGCTGTCCATCTGCAGAGCTGACAGGCAGCGATGGGGTTGTGACAGCTATGTGCGGGCTTCTGGGTCGTCACTGTTTTTGTGTTTGATGTGTTAATAGGGACCCTCAACCCCGTGCGAGCAGCTGTGCAACAGCTGATGTCATTCCCCTTGGTTTGTCCGCTTGCTTCCTTTTAAATCAGTCCATGCATTACTACATAATTAATGTTTATAGTTTGGCTCAGCAGTCTGCTATCACCTCTTTGCCCTCTATCCGGTTTCTTTCAACATGCGAATGTACAACTTTAAAATTATGCAAAAATTAGAAATATGCCTTTGTTGTGTCCAGTTTCAGAAGATGAGGTGACAAGGGAAGCCAACGATATTGGAAGCACGAGGGAAAGATATGTTGAGGATCTTCTTCAAGCACTAACAGGAGGTGAAGGGGGAAGAGGAGGAGGAAGGAGAAGAGGCAACAAGGAGGTGTATTCTTTCCACCTCTCTCCAGATCACTGTCATCTCTCATATCTGAAGATCTGTAATGACATCTCGGTGAGCAAAAGCGTTGAGTAGATTTTTAATTATTATATGTTGCGAAATCATAATTGTTCACAGCGTGGGTTAACGAACTATACCTTTATATTTTTTATCATTAACTTTAAACAGACATACAAGCAGCAGCTTTAAGCCTGGGCTGAGACAGACAACAGCATAACAAAATGCCCCCCCCCCTCATTTATTTCAATTAGGCAGCTGCGGTAACGCCAACGCAGAGGGCCACAAAAAATGCGGGGTTGTCTGAAAAAGAAAAAAAAAAAGTTGAACCCAGCTCAACTTATGCTGCAGAGTGCATCTTCATCCGGCGTGTTGTCCAAGCAAATACATTCAACTGCACATTTCTGGTAGATAACTTTGTAATGTGAAAGCAACAGTTTACCTCACAGTTGTTGTGACAAAAGATACATATTTCTATGTATGCAGATTCTATAGACTTTTTTTATGTTTATCTTAGTTCTGATAGTGAGTTTCATGTGCCTTCACCCCTTCAATTGTCAATAAGCATACCAATTGGCAATCGGAACAAGCCTAGTAGTTTGATTGATGATTTTTGATTTCTGGAACTGGTTTTGGGTGCTTTGGGTGCTCTGATTCAATCTCATGAAGTGAAGTAGGTAGTTTGAAACTCATATTTTGAGGAATCTGTTGTTCAAGATCAGTTTTAGAAAGTTGTTTTCTTAATTATGTTTATTTATCAGTACTCCCCCCTTGAATTCCACAACATCATGCACTTCCCTGAGGATAAATCCATCTAACGACATACAACAACATAGAGAGGAAGTCTTATTTTTTACAGCGGGCTGTTAAAAAGATAAGGTTTATAGTCTCCCCATATTATAGCAGAATTAGAAAGGCTTGCCTTCAGGCTGCTGTGGAAAATGCCACAGATAGGAATCATTCAGTTTGTTGCCAGTCATCCAGTGGCAACAGTATAAGGTAGTTGTGTAATGGCCGCAGCTTGTAAAAGTTATGGGAAAAAGATTTGCTGATTGAAATTAAGGTGGAGCTAGCTTGCGTTAATGTAACCAACATCCCCACATTAATGCACATCTCTTTTCAAATGTATGCAACAGTCACTGAAAAAACTGAAACTGAAAACTGAGACATGTATTCTTACATACAGTGAGTGACAAGCTTGATGGAGTACAGGTCATGGTACTTTCAGTGGATTTTAGTGTTATTCTGTGAAATTGTGAGAGGATTCTGTTGCCTCCAGGGAGCAGGTCACTTGTGGTCTTTGGGAATGCTGTGCAGGTAGAGGACACCCGAGGGAGAAGGCCAGGAGGTTAGGAACACTGTAAAGACCCTGATTTATGGACGGGGCCGTCCCTATCTAACAATGTTAAACAGTTGATTAGTGCCTTTTTCTTTTCTGAAATGCCTCCTGGCTTTCTTTGTTTCTATGAGTGTGTACCATGTATGTGTGCCTATGCGCATGTGTCCCAACATGTGCAGACATCCTGTTTTAGAAGGCTATCAGCCTTTGGGTGCATACTTGACAAAATGGTTATTTCCACTGTGTGTGACTTTGTGTCATGTAACCACATCCCATAATTTAATAATGCAATTATGATATCAAGTATAGAAAGGATTAATATTTTCAACAACACAACAACTGTTAATGCGAAATAAAATCAACAATGATTAAAAAATGTTACTCCTAGGGGTGTAGTAGGGATACCACAGGGGAAATCTCATTAGTCAAACAAAGTTTTTTAAAACTGAATAATGAATAGACTTAAAATCAGTGCACGCCTTCAAAACATGAGTAAAATGCACAGAGAGACAAATGAGACAAACAAATAAACAGCAGCCATCATTTGACTTAAATATTCTAAAGAGGTCATATTATGCCTTTTGGCTTTTTCCCTCTCCTCTGGATCGCCACTTTGCTGTGACATCACAGCGAAAAACGCATCTAGGGCTGCAGCTAACGATGATTTTAGTATTTTAAGCTTCGATAGATTATTTCAATGATTCATCGATGCGTCCTTTAAGAAGTACTTTTGCTTGCCAGCGGCAGAGCTGACAGGGACACACACACACACACACACTGCAGGCTCTGTCACGCGACGCTGGTCTCCAAACCATGTTTTGTCAAGAAAACACATGTGAAATGTGAAACAGGAAATTAGTTGTTATTATAAAGATGGCGATAATAAAGACAAAGAATCTGGGTGAAATGTTGGATTAGCATACGCAGGTAGCAGGGATTGTCTGAGCTACAGAGAGAGCTGGAGGTGAGTTAAAAGGTGCAGCTTCCCGACACCCAGTTAACTCATGACTGTGAGGTTACAACTCACGGCTGAAAAAAGAGAACAACAAACGCACGTGTGTACATTTTCAGCTGAGGTCTGCTGCTTACTTTGACTAGCCTTCAACTCAACAATCAGTCATGATTTCAGTTTAATGCTAAAGTTGCTGTTACTGTTACCTTGTCTGTGGTCCGCTGGCAGAACACTGGCTGCTTTTTGTTCAGCTGCCGTCGTGCTGTTGCCAAGGTGACATAAGTTTCGTTTTACGGTGGACGGACGGTAACGTTACAGAGTTGTTGTTTTCTCTAGCTTGAAATAATCCCATACTTTGGACACTTTCTTCTTTGTCCCTCGCTATTTTCTCCCTCTCCCTCCACTTTGCAAACAGCTCCATCATAGCCACGTCGTGTTCACAGCGTAAGCGCGATGTGCGACAGTAATAAATGTCCGTGCGAAACACTGTGGCGTAAAGTTACATGGATTAAACGAAGCATCGACGCAAAGAATTTGTGTCGATGCATTTTATTAATCGTTTTAATCGATGAATCATTTCAGCCCTACACGCATTATAACACTCCCCATATGACTATTTAGACACGCCCTCAAACTCAAAAACTTTCTAAGCTGCAGCACACAGTGACAAGACATCCGCCTGTTGACTCCCCTCTGCCTTCCAAACACTAGCTACCCTCCAGGCAGTCAATGGACGTAAAGCTGTTACTGTGATGTAAAGACAGAGCACAGTTATAACTTTATGGATGAAAAATACTTTTGATACAGATTAATAAATCACCACTCTGAAACTATCTATGTCTATGTCTATGTTGCTAAGCTGGTAAGGGGAATGTATACAGCTGAACCGAAGCCGTGTTTGCCGGCTTTTCAGGGCCCGCCCTACTCTGCTTCTGATTGGCTAGTAGTCCTTAACTAGGAACTGCGTATGTGCAACTCCCAACAAAGATCTTGTCGAGGTAAGATGCATCACTCCATAGCTAAAACAGATTGTTCAACATACAGGGTGAAGAGGTGAAAAAACATGGTGTTTTTTGAAAATGAAACCATGTAAACCTGTACTGGTACAACCCCTAAATAAAAGTATGAACCTGAAAATTAGCATAATATGACCAATTTCAAACAAAACATTTTACTGGTTTTACATGCTACAAATCAACTCTCTCATTTGTGTAGGTGGTGGTTGCACAGGGAAAAGTTGTTACCAAAAGCAGCAACTAGACCACACAAAATGATTGACAGAGGCCCAAAGTGTGCTTTTTAAAAATGTGATCCATGCTCACATTGTTGCTGCTTTGTTGATGATCATCACTGTGTGCAGTATGTGTGTGGTAGAATCCTGGGGGACTGTTAGCATTAAGTGCAAACTACCACTCTTAGTCTAACACCTGCTTCTTTTCTTTTCCCTTTGCTCTCCCTCATTTGGCTTTTTTTTTTAACATGTCACAAGTTATAAAGTGGAACGTATTTTCTCAGCCAGATAATTTCAGGGCACAGAAACGACCAAAAATGAGGCAAGTTCCAGTTGGGAACAGAAGAAAGGAGGTTATGGACAAAACAGGTGGTGAACTTAACCTGACATTAATATTTTATGAATATGACCCCCAGAACTTGTAATGATGTAATTTGGGTGTTTGTTGTTAAACTACTACTAAGCAGGTGTTTTACTTGGCTGAGTCAGACATTATCTCCTCCTTAATGTCTGTTTAAGTACCGATCTGTTATTGGTGGAAAAAAGATTCTAGTGCTGGCACGTCAACAAACACTTCATGTCCTTGCAGATTATGGATGTTTGAGCATTTAAGGAGAATTAACAGATCCTGTATGTCTGTTTAGGCCTACCACAATTTGGCTCCTAAATATGACACACACAACTTGAACTGTATATCTTTTAAGTTTAGTGTTTTTTTATGTAGGTCATAGCCTCTCTTTTGTGCAGACTTATTATTTTATTTCATAAAAACTGTCACTATCTTTTGAGCAGCACTTCTAGCTCAGATCTTACTTCAGACCAGCTTCGACCCAGGGAGATTTGGACTCTTAATTCTTGACGGTTGTGGTAATTGAAGCCACAGGATTCTGCGTGAGTCTGGGTGGATGACTGTGGCACTGAATGTTCCATGTTGTTATGTTTGTCAAATACAACTTGTGTCATAGTTCACTGGGGATTACAGCTGTGCAGCGTGACACCAGTCACAAAGTTCACTGGAGTAGTCCATGTTTTTTTATTCTGATTGAATAACCTCACATTTTGAAGTGTGAAATTATACATTATAGACTTGTGAGTGGCTTTGCACATGAACAACTTTTGTCAACATTATTTACAAACTCTAATAATGCAAATTGATCATTTTTAAGTGTGGGCTTTTCCACCAGACAGATCTCAAAGCTGCTCTCAGAGCTGTCTTATTAATCTTTTGCTTTTTTTATTTTTGTGTGCTATACCAAATATCATCAAGCCAAGTATCTAATAGCAAACATCGGCAGGGTTTTTAAATGCAGATGTCTACTTCTGTGCATATAAATTACTGTAATATATGTTGGCAGAAGACTAGAAATACTGCAAACTGGTGATAAATGACAGGATAAGGTATCCCTTCATCAGGGTTTCCTGCTGTTTTACAAAACATAATGTAATGATTTTCAGCCTCAATTTCTCAATTCACAATCAATTATGAAGCTAATCTGGTGAAAGTTTCAGTCCCACAAAGCAGCCAAAATGCTTTTATTGTGGTTTCAGAAGAACATTTAATAAAATCTGCAATCATCAAAAGCAAAAAAGGACAAATTGGTTACATGTTTGGCTTTTACAGCTGTAGTCAAGTTTTTGTTCTGCTTTTACTGTCTGAGAATTTGTGGCACAAATGGAAGCCAGATTTGTATCCTGACAGTCCTGAAGAGTCTGATCCACCGACGCATTTCTTCTGCTGTTACCACCAGCAAGTTCCACCTCACAGTACTTGTAGCTTGTCTCTCTGGTTGATGTTTACAGTATTAATGTGAGTAAATCTTAATAATGTATTCCTGCTACAGACATCTCTGAACCCAGTATTCTAGGCTGATACCAAAGTGAAATTAAGCATTCAAACTGTATCCCCCTGTTCTGATGTTAGTACTGTGTCATAGCATGCTCTGTGTTTATGGGAACATTCATGTTATCGGGGACAGACTGAGTGCTGCCGCCCTCACTTCCTGCTTTTTATCTGGCCTCACGCCTCTGCACGGCAGACGAGGGAGCTGATGGGTCAAGCTGATTGCTGCACAATGCCCACACTTCCTATAGTGAGTATCCTTGCCCACCCATGAACACTGTCTCTTTGTCATCATGCACTCACCCACTCACTTCTCTGTTCCCTTCATTTATTTTAAATAGAATAATTCACTGGATCACTGACATCTTCACTATATCTTTGCATTCATATGAAATTATAATAATATAAACATTGTGAACAAGTATTATTAGAAGGTGGAGTTTTTGTTTGCAAATTAGATAAATATGCTAGTGATCTAGTTAGAGGCTTCAATGATGCCAGTTTACTTTAATATCACTGATTAATGCTTATTGTTTAATGGGGTTTATTGTTCTCTGATCAACAGGAACAAATGGCGGGGTTGGTCTCCCACAATGTGTTGGACCGTGTAATAAGGAGACCTTTGTGTTCTCTGTGCCCACATTGTGTTATGGTATCAATTTCACTGGGACTGTGTTCTTTTGGCTTTGTCCTCCACACCTACGTCCCTCCTTCTCCAGGGTTTCAACCTTATGGTCTGGCTAGCTGTCTGGAGACTCACACACAAACAAACAGTTAGACCACACACACACCTACACACACACACACACACACACACACACACACACACACACACACACACACACACACCCTACCATGTTATAATGTCGGACAAACTTATCCTGAAACCAAGATTTTACATTCACATATCTCAAATCTCAATTAGCTTTGTCTCATTTGTTGATGCTATTAACAGTATACTTCATCCCAGAAAGTACATTCTTCAGGGATTGCAAAGATTTATGAAGCGTCTTTTCTCGTCTTAGATGTATTTTCCTCTTGTCCTGTCATATTAGCTTTGTTGATCTTTAATTTGTCATCAATTAGCCCACCTTGTCACATGAAAGTCATGTCAAATGCTGTTAGAGACTGAAACAACAACTATGAACGCTTTACTTATGTTTTTGTTGTTTTAGTAATTTAACACAGTAGAAAGAATGTGGCAGTGGGTTGAGGATCACAGACAAACAGTCTGACCTCCCACACCTCGGCAGAGGCTGGCAACAGTGTTCGGACTGACCTTTAACTTTATCTTTGTGTCTCAGGAGAGAAGCAGAAGCTCAAGAAAATAAATTGTGTAGTGCATCCTTCCTCCTACCATGCTGCACATTAAGCTATAGGTAATCTGGAATTCACATGTTTACTGCTGTGGGTCTTCTCAGAAACCCTGAAAGTAAAGACAGCGAAACATAAAACCTTTGGTATTTAAAAGAAGGAGCACAAGAAATAAACAGCAGCTGAGAGCCATTTCCAGTGTTAATCCAGTAAATAAGGGTTGTGCTTCCAGCAGTTTAGATCTCTGTATCTGGTGTCTTAAACTGGTAATACCATGTTAACATGCTGGTCAGGAAGATTTATGCTCAGTGGGTAAAACTTTGATCACAGAGTTTGTCAAAGTACCAGACATTATGATCGAGTGAGACTTGTACAGTAAATGTAAGACAAGATAACATTCTTGTGCGTGGAAATATTAGTGTACTCAGCATGTCAGTCCAATGCCTTCACATTATCCTTTCTCACGTGGCTGATTTATTGCCAAATGACCTTCCTCTGAAAGAACAGCGGAGCTTTAGGCAAAGGTAGCAAGAGGTAGAAGAGAAGTTTGAGTAGATACAGAGGCGAGGTTTGAGGTAAGATCAAAGCGCTCACATTTATCACACCTCGCAAATTGTGCTACTCTGCATATGTGCGGATGGATTGTAACGTGTAGCCTAATGTGCAAGTTGGTATATCTTTGAAGTGGACAGGATGACTGACACACTATTCAAATGACTAAGCCAAACAGCAGCCATTCTTACTAGGCCTCTTCCTACACTAGTCTCACAATTTTGTGTTAATGGTGGACCATCTTGCGCAAACACTGAATTATGAAGCTCTGTGTCACACAAATTCACTCTGATTCCCTGAGAGTAGCCTGCACTGGATCCTGATGTTGCTCTAGACCTTTATGAGTTCTTGGGAACCTCATCCTCCTTGGATCCTGGGTGGTCTCCTCTATGTCCTCATGCTATTAAGATGACTTGTTGGATTACTGATTTCCTTGTTGTGATCAGACTGGGCTTTATTGGCAGCACAGAGTAAGTACGGAATAAGCATGCAACAAAGCAAAGAGATTTTTTGAGAATCATCTCTTTATCTACATTAATTTTATTGTGAAATTATGCTGAATGGAGTTATTTTCATTGAGCAGACAGTCAGTAAGCCACTTATTCAGAGAGCAGGGTTTTTGATCACTTGCAAATCTTTTTATGAGCAACCCCTGTTTTGTTTTCTTATCCCATGATCAAAACGCATGTGAGCACGCACATGAGCCTCTGTGGTCATGATGGGCACTTTGCTGAATGCACAGGGCCATAATGTAGTGAAAGTTGGTGGCATTCAAACCCCTAAAAAACACAGGAAGAACACATGTAAACAAGACTAAGCCTGAGTTTTACCAATAAAGATGAAATTAATCCATGGTTAGTCCTTATCAGAGTTTTGTAAAACTTGGTTTAAAATAAGTATATCCAGAATTAAAATTAAGAAGAGATAACAAAATGTTACATTGTTAACCAGCTAGATAAAAAGGTACTTAGCCTACTTATGACGGCTCGCCAGAGAAGCTCTAGCACAGTAAGGTAAAAAGAGACCGCCTGTTTTGCTGCTTGAGAGAAATTCAGCAGCGTCATAAATATGGTTGAGTCTGTAATTTAAGATTTAATGTTGATTTAATCAGGTTTAAAAATGAATCGTTGTTGGTTGAACCAAGCCAAAGTGTGTACAGGCACTCTAGCAGCTCTGTGAGACTGTACTTAGGGACAGGACAGACACAGGAATCTGATCTGTTGGTGGTGTTAGAGCAAAAGTCAAGGGGTCATCAAAGTTACTAGTTATTAGTTTCTAATAATAACTAAAATAGTGCAGGTATCAAAAAGGATTTTGCAGAAGATACATAGTGGTATAGTTTGGTTTCTTGGTTTCATTCAATTGTAGTACAGTATTTCATGCCCAAAACATTGCAGAAAAGTTTGTTTTGTGAGAGTTGACAGTTGACCAGTGATAGGTAAGGGAAGAAAACATAGAAGAGAAGAAGTAAGTAAGTGAGCAAAATTTGGCAGTGAGAAAAACAGGACTGCCAAAGAACAGATGATCGATTGAGACAGACAGGTAGGCTGAGGTAGTGATTGAAGCTGTGGGAGCAATGTGAAGCCAGTGTCCACTCACTGAAACATGTTCAGGTTCATCAGTGGAGGGGAAAACAGCTGTGTGGCCTGCCAGGACAGCATCAGCCCAGGACAAAAATGTTATGAGAGCTTTTGAAGATGGCGGCTTTATTATAGTGGGTCTGCGACCTTGACGCAGCCCAATGAAGATTTAGCACCTCATCACCTTCTGGTTTCCCAGTGCACCATGGGCTGTACCTTTGCGTGTGTGTGTGCGCGTGCGTGCTTATGGGATAAATATTGCAGCTATTTGAAAAAATGTTTGGTGTGGCAGCCCTGATGATCAGACTCTGGGTATTCTGTATTTAATTATAGCTGTTTGCTATAAATGTAGTAGTCCTGTTTAAAAATGGAGGGCTACAGTGGAATTTAGAAAATGTAACACATCAACAAAAAGTTAGAAAATTTCCGCATTTGTCTGCCGCCCGCTCCAATGCCTCAGCCCTGCTCTGTGACTCGGTGCCAAAATGCAAACCAAATGAGGAATGTTTTATTACATCTGAAGCCATCTGAAGTGTGTGCTCACTTGCATAGTTTACAGCTGACCAATGAATTCATCCTGTATTTCTCCCAGACAGAAGAAAACACCTCATCATCTTAAAAAGTCTCCAGCTTCAAAGAAAATGTGATGCAATGGTTTGTTGCACCTCTATATTGTAGATCTTCTTCAGGTGACATTAAGGTGCAAATTCTCACTCACTTTTCACTGAAAGCTGCTTTTGGAAACTACTTTAAACCCATTAAACTATGCGTCAGTGTTCTAGTCCCTTAATTTTGTCAGGATTGTGGTGCTAGATGTTCTTTTCCCGGGCAACTTCCTCCAGCTTCTTCTAAGGATCTCGAGGTACTCCTGGGGCACCTGGGAAATTTTGTCTTAAATCTGTCCCAGTCGGGCATGCTCAAAGGGAGGCACCCAGAGGTTATGCTTACCATGAACCATGAATGACCTTAACCTGTCAGTGCACAGGAAGAACTGTTTAGTGCTAAGGTCCTCCCACATTGCTGAGCTCTTCAACTGGTCATGAATAATGAAGAGAAAGCTTAATTGCTTTAAATATGAACTTATGCTTTGTAACGTTATACTCCAGTCATATTTGATCATGTTATCTCATTTTCCCTCTCCTTTTTCTGCTCATTCTTTCCCTCCTTTCTCAAGGTGCACTTGGGTTCTGTGCAGCTCCAGCCAGCTCCAGACTCTCTAGAGCTTAACCGAGAGATGATTGGAGAGTCCCTAAAGCGCGGTACGGATCTGGGATCAGAAAATTGCCAGCTGTTGGAGGAGAACTGTAGACTGAAACAGGAGCACCAGAGAATACTCAGAGAGTAAGGATGAGAAGGAAAGCAGCCCTGTGATTTGTGTATGTGTGTGTGTGTTTGTGTGAAGGATTAAAATGTGTGTTTATGGCCATATGTGCTGGAGAGCAAATGTAAAGTACTGATGGAAAATACAGACATAATCAAATTATTTTGTTAAGATGTTCATCGCTGGTATTTGTTTGTTGATTGTCTTGTTTGCATGCAAGCTTTCTTTCCCTTTTAAGTCGCGCTACCAGCTGTTTATATACATAGCAATCACCCAGCATGACATCATCACCGGTCGCCCATTTGAGAGTATTGAGGGTTCCACCCAGTGTTGCAAACTGGGCTTGTGATTTCTGGGAGCTAACGAATGGTTCACTTGCACGTCTTTCTTTTTTATATATCCCTGGTGCTTGACTTCTTTTCAAATAAAATTTCTTGTGTAATTGTTTAACCACTTGCTCATTCCTTGGCCAGTGAATGAAGCTTTGCCAGAGACAAGGGATGACTTATGTCTGCACAGGGTGGAGGCATCAGCATCATTCTTCTTAGCAAATAACTCTCAGAAGGCAAACAAACATGATTCCTCAGCTTTTAACAACATGTATTTGTCTGTCTGTGCATGCATGCATGTGCACACGTGTGCCAGTGGGAGTCCATTTGTTTACATGTATGTTTTTGCACACACTTTGGTGTCTGTGTGTTTTCTCACCAGGCTGGAGCAGCAGGTTCAGGATAAGGAAATGTTGGAGAGAGAGCTGTACTCACGTTTTGTGATGGTTCTGAACGAGAAGAAGGCCAAGATCCGAGAGCTGCAGGATGCTGTCCTCCAGCTCCAAAAGGCCGATGACCAACAGAGAGATGAGGAGGGGAGACAAAGGTCAGCAGACTTCCTCTAATTCTGTGATGCTTCGGCATACTGACCCTTGTGGTCAGTAATATAAAATACTGAAAGATGATTACCCCAAGGTTTTGCCAGCATCGTACAATGAGATTCTGTATTTTCAAAGGCATATTCACGCATCAACTCTGTTTTTCTTCTTTGTTTCTCCACACTCTCTCTTACAGACTGATTTTTCTACATAATAACTTTCTCTTCTCTCAAACTTGTCTCATTTCCTTTAGTAACAATGGTGGAGATGACATTCAGGACAGAAGAGATGAAACAGTTCAGAGCATCCATCCATCTCAGGAGTCAACTATCCTCATCACAGGTGTGTAGTTGTGTGTGCGTGTAGTGTTAAGAGTGCACTTATCAGATGGAAAACTGCTCCCAAGACTATTAAGTAAACCATTCTCTGCCAACTCAGAATGAATAATGGGGTATTAAGAAATGAATATAAAAAATTCATATTTGCCTGCGTCAAAATATGTTGCAACAGCATTGACAATTGTAATAACCAGACTGAAACATCTCCTTGCCCTCAAATTACTCAGAATTAAATAACAACGACTCAAGGGGTAAGGCAGAACCCAACCAATGTTTTCATAATATGCTGAGAATTAGCAGCTGTGCGTTTGTGACTTAACAAGCACATGTGTGTGTGAGCAACACAGAGCAAGTATCATTTAGGTTCATGGTACATGATCATGATTCTAGTGCTGCATATTAAAGCATAAACACAAAGCTACCTGATAACACATGTATCAGTTAGAGAGAGTAGAAGATGGGGCCAAATAAGCTAAAAGCTTAACACATCACTCACAGATTTGAGAGTTTCAGAAAGTAATTTTAAAACGTAAAGTCTTCAGAAGCTTCCTCTCTTGACATAACTCATTTAGGTCATCTTCATAGATATGCACTGCTACGATGACACACCAGCAACACACTGCGCTCCAATATTCCACTTATTTACACGTGCCATGTTTTGGTGGAGCAGGGCGTGCAAGTATTGAACATGGCAATTTTTCGCCCATTCCCAGTACTCCTTGCGATGTCATAGGTCACACTGTGACTCAGTATTGATGCAATATCACAGTGAAACTCTTGAGTTTTAGCTTTCCTCGAACTGATTTTACCTTCCAACAAACCTGACAGTTGAATGTAATTGATTATGTAAGCGGGGGGGTGGGTTATTGTAAACTTAAAAGCAGACACAAGCAGGGAGTATACCCTCGGGTAGCCTGGTTCTGGGAAACACCTGTCAGTGAGTCATGAACCACCCAGCGAAGTCTGCTGTGATTGCTTCAACACAGCCGGCCACGAGGTGGTCTTCCCTTTCCTGCATCATGCAGAGCAGGCGTGATGTCACATCTGCTGAGTCATAACCCCCCTGTATTACAGCGCTGCAATCTGCTAGGATAACCCACTGATCGCTCTCTCAAATGTGTTGTGTTCCCCAAGAAGATAATACAGTTGCAAAACACATTGATGTTGTAGTGTTTGGCTCTCATTTTCTTCTCTCTCTCACTCACTCACTCACTCACTCACGCACGCATGCACGCACTCTCATACATACACACACACACACACACACACACACACACACATATACACAGCCTCCACTTCATGCTCTCTCTGCCTTTCTGGCTTCAGTGAAGATGGATGGACGTTGTAGATTGTACAGAATCGGTCTTGGCTCACACACTTGTTGTTTGTAGTCCAAATGGGTTTTACAGTGCTTTCTTGTGTTTTCTGCTTGCTGGTGAAAATCACCCGGCCGGCACTTTAATCTTCTCAGCTTAATGAATTTGATGACGAGTCCCCATCTTCTGTCCATATTCTGAGCTTTTAACATTATGGGTCTGTTTTCCAAAATCTTTGTGTAACTAACACAAACTCAGCCGTCCAACAAATCAGTCTCTGGGCGTTTCTTTCTTGGCCATAAGCACTGTGTTGGAAACGAGCCATAAATTCATGTCAGTGGCTATTACAAAATGCTAATGGCTGCCTAATGCCTGATTATTCCTTCTTGTTAATATTGTGCAGCCTTAGTCTGGTAACCCCAGCAACCAAATAATTCATGGCGACCTTCACAATGAGGACGTGACCCATGCACGGCAATCTTCTGTGTTTACAAATTCTATAAACAGTCTGTAAATTAAGTAAACTTTGATAAAGCTCTCCTCCCATCTGGCTATTGCAATGTTTGACCCAGATCAGAAACGGTGTGCACAATAGCAAACTGATGTTTCATTTGCATTTAGAAATCTACACAAACTTTACCAACATAGTGGGCTGCACAGTTCCCCTTTGACATGCTTGGCCCTAGTTAACCCTGGTGCCTCAGGGTGTGTTTTCATATTGACGAGGCCTGATAAGAGAGAGTAATGACAGAGCAGATTTGGAGACAAAAGACGTGTTCCCTCCAGGTTTGGCATCTGATTGTGACAACATAGGAAGCATATCACTCACAATAGGGTGACCAAAGATAAAAGAGATAGAGGTCGAGGAAGGAGTGTGAAGGGAGAGTAGAGAGGCAGTGTGATTTAGGGGATCAGGAAGCATCTGAGAGAGTCTCTGTGATAAGACAGGGAATAAATAAATGGATAAAAATGACCATTTTAACAATCACATGTTGACTGTAATGCCAGACTCGATTAGTATTAATTTTATCATCCGCATTTAAAGTTTTATCCCCTAATCAGATGGCGAATAAAGTCCTCTAAGTATTTTTTTTAATCTACCTGAACTGCTTAATCTGTCGATCTCTCAGTTTGAATAGGCTAGCAGCAGTGTTAAAGGGCAAACAGGTGTGTTTGTATGTCTGTCTGTATAAAAACAATTGTACCCAAGTGTGACCTGGCTTGTGTGGAATGCCAGATCTCTATTACTGATAAAGGTCACTGGACTTCAGGTGTGGAGTTGACCAGGGTTAACAAAGGTTATCTGAGGCAGTATGCCCTGAAACTGCCACAAATGTGCCAAAAATGACATTGATGGAGAATTGGTTTTAAGCAATGAAGATGGAGAATCTGGGCTTCGGAAACCACCCTAGTAATCCCAAAAATTTGGAACAAGAGTGCAGACATCTAGATGCATTTGTTTTGAGGCATGTGAGGACTAAACCGTCAGAGGTCACTGTGAAGAAATGTTATCAGCATCTAGTAACTTTGATTTACGGTAGACATTATTGATTTCTCAAATTAACTGCCCTGAGTTCAGGTATATTAGTGACATCATGAATTAAAGATGTGCTGGCTCAAAGTAGCAACTGCAAAGTAATGATGTAGCAACAACCACAATATCAGGTGGTTCCCTGATATGGTTTGTGTGAGCCTCTGTGTGTGTCTATGTGCACTATATTGTATGCAGGTCGTAATCTGGTGTGCCAGGGGATCTCTGTGGACCAGACTTTTTCCGATGATGAAGATAAACAACCGAGACGGAAGCGGAGATTTCTTAACACACTGAGCCCAGAGCCTTCTGAGCAGGAATAAAACCGCAGGTTAGTCAGATAAATCAACACAACCAATGTATCACCATATTTGGTATTAAAGTTGTTCTTGCCTCTGCTTCCCCTAGAAACTGCATTACATAGCACAAAAGTTGTCATTGGAGGAGTTTAGATGGGAATATTTAAGAGAAAAGAAGATTACACATTGCAGATTTTTGGGTAGATCAAATTAAAACATCAACATGACACACAATCTCTCCAGTCTTTTTTGCAGTTTAAGTGTAAGATGTTCCACGTGGCTCCAAACCAGAGTTTAACAACAATACAAGAAAATCATTTCAAGCTTTTAGTTTTACAGCCCAGTGAAACATTTTTCTCTTTTCCCTTCAAATTTCAGTTTTTGCTTCTTTTCCGTTTTTACGCTCAGACAAACTTCTGAACAACCACCGCAGTAACAGATGTGAGGTGTCCTACTGATTTTTTATCCCCCATTCCTTCCACTCCTCCCATTAAAGAAGGTTGAATCATCATTTTGACATCATCACTGGTATTACAGAAAAGCCCACACATGCACACTTGCTATCATCCAACAGTGTCAGCTCCGAGTCCTGCACATTTCTGCTTAATTATTTAACTGGATTTCTTCGTTTTACTTATTGATTGCATTACACGTTAGGACACACAGTACTCCTCCTGCTGCTTCTGACCTCAGCACTGCTCTTAGATGTGGAGTTGGTCTCCGGATGCTAAAGAAAAGTTGCTGCATCCTCCTAATACATAGAATGGGTTAAATGCAAGGGACATATCTATATATATATATAAATGTTCCTAGCAAAAAAACAAAGTCAGTGCTTTTTCATATTCCATCTATGGCATTTAACTTCTTCTTGGGAGTAGACTTCAGAATACATTTGTATGGGGTGTGAACATCATAACAGCAGGATTTTATAAAGTTGGCCTCACTGGTGGGTCTGACAGTTTAAAATAATGAATCTACTTCTGTTAATGTTTGGCTTTTCAGAAGTGTCTCCTGAACATCCGGCTCAAACATACAGTGTTGTGAGGTCTGTCCACATTCAACAGCTGCATGTTTTCTCAGACTGTACTGACTTACTGCGATAGAATGACCACAGGTTCTTTGACTACTTTCTTTTGGGACTACAAATGTGTCAGAGTAATACTGCATCTTTTTTGCTACTGCTGCTGCTTCAAAAAAGAATCGATATCAGACTTTCTATATCTATATCTATAGTCAGAAAATACACAAATAGATTATATCTCCAGACACAGTTGTTGCATTGGGAAAGAAATATCGGCCCTCAGTTGTCATCATGTTGTCAGTCAATATATGCTACACTTAAAATGATCAACTCCCCTGCATTTGTCGTAGTGACACTTCTGTTAAATCTATAAACCTCATAACATCCTCCCACAGCTTACATTTGGGTGTTGGCTGGCAAATAAACAAAAATGCAGCAAAGAAAATTACTGCAGTGTGTAGTGTCGCTTGGTCCAACGTAGCAATGACAGCAATAGCTTTTGACTCCCAATGAAAACATCCACCTCTTATTCTCTCTTTTGCACCCTTGTCATTGCAGATTTAATTTGTTGCACTGACCTTTCTTCTCTCTAAGCAACTAACATTAACTTCTTGGCCACGATACATGGTAATACACTTCAGCCTTGGTTCATATCAGTATGTTAATTTCCCAGAGGACTTTTCCATATTGAGGTATACAATATGAAATTTAAAATGTTTGTTTTATTAGTGCAAATTACATATTAACTCTAACCTTTTCCCTCCCTCTCTTCCCATCTGTCTTGTCTCCACCCTCCTCCTCAATAGATAGATGACATCCAGGGCTCATCGTGAACATGATTAAAGCCCTAAATCTACGGATTTTATGATTTTTTATCCAGATATGTGGGAAGCTACTTTCGGCTAGTCAACCCTCACCTCGATACACACAACCAAAACATTGACAACCAGGCGACATTGTCCTGGAGGTGTCACCACATTTGATGCCAGATTTCGTCCCAGATTGTGAAAGTAATTTCAGAAAGACAGAGTATGTTACTGCCATCTGGTTTGCTTTAACTGTGACAATTACCTGCCACAGCTCTCATGAGAGACGTGCTGCTCGTCTCTCCCCTTCAATAAATCAAAAGACGAATAGTTAATGACACTATCTTTTCCCAAGCACTCCCGACCGCATGCTCTGTTTGGTGCTGGCGTCAAGACTTTGTCGCCCAGATGCGTCAGTGGTCATGTGACAACAGGCACTTAACACCCTCCAGCGCTTCCATTGCTGTTAATGACTTGGAGAATTTGGTAGAGAGTCTGGACCAGGAGTATGGAGTTTGACTTCGCCCTGAGCTCGAATTTGGATGCCAAGCCCCTGTGCCTTGGCTTATGTGAGACCAGAGAAAGAGTAACAACTACTGAGGGACAACAGGCTACACCCAGAAAACAGGGTGTCACCACCAAGGAGCCGAAGCTGCTTTGTTGCTGCTTATTCATCATGTCATTGCTTATGTTTCCATCCCTCTTTTCATTATGAAAATAAACTAGATGGCATCTCTTTAATTTCCCCCTTTTAAACTAGCATTTTGCGAACAATAATTTCACCTGCCCCCTTTTTTCATTTTCATCTGCCCTTTTATTCTGCAAATGTTCCGTGGCCCAAACTACCTGGGGGGTGTTTTGCCGAAGGTTAATAGGGTTATGTTGTCTCTCACTCTCTTCATCTCCTCACCTCTTCCATTACCCATGCTTCCAGCTCTAGGTCCTGAGGTCATCACAGTGTGTCTTCACACTGACTGTAATGAACTTATGGAGACCTATTCAGGGTATTTATCTGACCATTTTACCTTTGACTTCTGGATATTCCTGCTGTCTTTTATGATTTTGATGATACCTACATGTCTGCTGAAGACCACGGGTGGTAGCCAAGATAATCCCACAACACGCGCTTGCTGGTTAATCCCCAGGAGAATGTCAGACTCTCTCCTCTATGCATCCCATTAATACGGCATTTTCTAAAGGTCCAGAAGTCCAGATCAGTTTCTAAGGATTATTTACAGATAAGTGCATGACATTGTGCGATGTAGGATGACACAAAGTGTTAAAGATCAGGAGACTAAACTGAAAAATTCAGTCAGTGGTTTCATTCAGAATATTACGATAACATGCTCAGTTATTAAATGCAGTATATTCTCAAACATGCCTATTTGTGTTCTTTGTAACCCTAAAGTTACAGTACCACGTGGCCTTCGAGCAAGGGCTTCGAGATCAATGGGCTACAGCAGCCCATGCAGCTAAGGGGTTAACATTGTTTGTGAGAGAGCGATGATGGCTGTGCCAGGCTGAATTAAATGTTTAGTCACTTGCTTATCATCGTCATTCACTTACTGCGTGCACCTGTAGGTTTCTCATCATCCAGGGAAAAGACAGGATTCTTCCTGCTTTCCCGCCACAGAGCTACAGTGAGACAGAGCGGTCTTTGTCTGTTGCTAGGCTGTGCTGCTTCACCGACCTCACACTGTAATGTCTGAAATAACTTGGCTTTACACAAGCAATGTTTGAAAACTGAAGATGACAACGTATTTGGGAATTTATCATCAAATAGACTCTTATGAGTTCAGTTTACTCACCCTTCAGACACATTGGGCTGATTGGTGTCTGCCTACACTTAAGATTATTGCACTCACTTGCTGTGTGAATCAACTAAATTTTGTGATTCCGTAGAGCAATAAACTTTTTATAAAGACTACTTCTTCTGTTGATTTATTTTTTTCTAACTCAAGAAATGTAATTGATTTTATTGGGCCAATGTCAGAATACATTACGGGGTACTCCTTTTGCTCACAGTGGGCATCGCCGCTGTGTGCTGGGGGCGGCACACATATAGTAGTAAAGCAGTGGGCAGGCTGTTTGAATCTAAGGGAATATATTTTACTGCAATGCAAAAACAGCAGTGAAGCTCTCTGCTGGTGCCACTCTGTGTGTCAAATGTATGCGTGAGACCAAAAATCTAGTCTACACTATATCTCGATCTAGCTATCCAGCTATTTTCTAGAACCCAATAAAGACCATTCTTGTTATCATTTTCAACATCTTTCTAGATGTTGAATATCTATTGATGATGCGGAAAAAGAATACAGTGTTAAGAGCATTGTACATTTGCTTACATACACACCGTAAAAGGCACAAATATTGCAGCCATATTCTGTACATTACAGGTAAAACTTTACCAAATGGAAATCCCCACTGCACATTTAGTGCTGACTTGTCTTGGAGTCCAGTCATGCAGTCTTTTCTGCATTGGAAAGTACTCTACAAGTTTTGCCAGTGGCAAAGAGTATCTGCTCTGTTTCAAGCCGGTCATTAAAACAGCCTTTTCATCATTACAAATAACGAGTGGTTTCTCTTTGAGATGCTGGTGTGAACTGATTGGCCTCATTATTTGAATTAAACCAAATGTTCTGCAGGTTTTAAGAGGATGGTAGTTGGACATTAAGTGTGTGATAATGACATCCTGCTGTAGAGTCTGCTCGTGGGAGTTTTTCTCTTTTTTTCACATTGTGAACCAGTTTGTAACTTTGTTAGGAAAGTTTCTACATAAATGTCTATGTTTTTCTTCTGTTGGTCTGAGAATCAACAATAACTTTTATGGCCCTGTAAGTATGAGAAGGTGGAGATATGACTCACATTTTTGCTTGTTAAGATGAACTGTGATGTCTGCAAGTGTGTTGTCTTGCATCATGTTTTTGCATGAGTGCTTGCTACGTAGTGATGTACAGTAATGTACAGTAACCACTAAGCAATTTTAAAAATGTATACCACCCAAGCATTTTAATGGATGACCAAAACAGATTTCTATTGCAGTTTTACCAAAACATCCTTTAAAATGGTAATTGGAACCAAAGAAACCAAAATGACTTTCTACAGTTGACTTGATTTTCCCTCATGGCCGGGAATGCATTATGTTATTATCTTGACTTCCTCTTGGTCAGAGACCAAAGGATCAACGAGCTATCCACATTGCCTTCTCTTGTGTAGGCCTAATTGCTGACTGGCTTAATAAGTGACTGTCTCACACACCCATTTTTTTCTGTGGTTGAAGTACAGTGAGAAGCATGAGTTTCTGGGAATTCCACCATAGGGACTCGATGAATTTTCACATTGTCTGTGCAAATGTCATAGATCACACATTTCTACACACATTAATACCTTCGTGCTAATTTGTCAAATATGACACTTAATCAAACTAAATTTGTAATCCTGAGTCCCGAGTTCATGTATAGGCTGATTATAGCAGAAGGGATGAGGTTAGAAAATTAAAGGTTCTCACAATGCCGCGTTATGTTTACTGCAATTGGCAAGGATCTGTGACGTGGGAATGGCCTGCTTTTAGTTATCAAGCCATTTTCTCTGCCCCCCCACTTCCTCGGTCTTTGTTTCTTTGCCATCCTTTCAGATTAAAGTGGTTTGCTAGGAGGTGGCAGATACAGTGATTCATAAAGTTTCAAGCTGCTGATCCTTTCAAACAATCACCATTAGAACTTAAACCTTTCCCAAGAGCTTTGACGCTGTGGTTTGGTGGTTGTATGATAATCTTGTATTCAATGAGAACACATTTGCCTTTTCATAGAAAAGAAATGTGTTAATGTCTATGATGTTTAGTAAAGCAGACAGGCCTTGTTGTCTTAGTGATTCAGCCTCACCACAGCACCTGTGCTGTGCTTTTACCTGTCAAGTCTGAGGTGATGATTTATGAGGTTTAACAAGTGCCATCACCACATGACTGAAGAGTAGAGAGGTGTAAAATTGGAAAGACAGAAGTGTGGAGACAAAAATGGAGCACCAAATGAATAAAGAAATAAAAGAATAGAATAGCCTTTATTGTCAAATGTTGATTGTTAAAAACCATACAACGAAGTTTGGAGTGCTACTCCTGTGAGGTGCCAAAACACATTCAATAATTCATCCTCACATATATTCATTCATTTCTGTAATGCTAAATAATAGGTAGCAGGTCGATGGCTCTCACTAGAGGCACCAATTAGTGGACAGCAGGACAAACTTAGGTATCTCTGTAACACCCCTCAGACCAACTGACGGTTGACGGTTGATTGACACCTGGTGCCTACCTGATTGACACCTGGTGCCTACCTGATTGACACCTGGTGCCTACCTGATTGACACCTGGTACCGAAGACTCCAGACAGTTGTGACACTATGGAGTCGTCCTTGTAATGGCAGTGTGCAGCTTTTTCCCCCCCTTTTAATTATTTTTATTTTGTTCGGAAGTCATAGAAACAAGTGGGTGTGGTTGGCTGGGAAGAAGAGTAGCATTCTGGTGCTGCGGTCTGGTTGTGTTTCTATTAAAACACAGCTCATAGTTTACTGTAATATTGCCAATTCGAAAATATTTAATCTAAAATGTGTCCGACTTGGTTAGCAAGGTTAGGTAAGAGTAGATGTCTCCAACATTTTCTTTTGGAATGTGAATAAGAAATAAAGCAAAATTTTGATATGATTTCATAGACCACCAGGACAGTAATAGCCTGTAATAGAACAAGACATATTCAGTAAATTAATGCCAGACACTACAGATGAGTAGGTAGTAGTGTTGTAGTCAAGACCGCCCAAACTGAGACCAAGTCAAGACCAAGACCAGAGTTTATCGAGACCGAGACAAGACCAGGACTTTTAGAGGCTGAGAGCAGTCGAGACCAAGACCGAGGAAGGACGAGACTGAGTCAAGACCAAGACCAGTTCCCTGCATTGCATGGCATGCAATAAAATGTGGAACGAGAACATAGGTACAGGGAACAACACATGTTTAATTAGGGTTATTGGTTGCATTTGAAGCAATAAGTTTTACTTACAATCAAAGTTAGGATGTTAACAAATCAGACAATGCAAAAGCAATTTATTGATATTCCCAAAGTTATGGTCTTGACTGGTCTTGAAATAAAATCCCGAGTCCTCAATGACCGAGACAAGACCGAGTACAAAGGCAGTCGAGTCCGAGACGAGACCAAGACCATCAAAAAGTGGTCTTAAGACTGGTCTTAAGACCAAGACTGGTCTCGAGTACTACAACACTACTAGGTAGTAGGTAGTAAACATTGTATCATATAGATATCAACATGAAACTTCCTTTGTTGATTGCTTACAATAAGACAATATTTTTTGTATAACAAGTTTTCTGAAATGTTATGTTTAAATATGCAAATGAGGCATTATCTAATGCTAATGAAAAAAACAATATTTTGCCTCTGATATATCTTAACAGACCAACATGACTTATCGCAGATATATCAAAATTGATCTCTGTGTTGTGTGCTGTGCACATATATGAATGGAAATTAGACACAGCTTTTATAGTATGAAATGTAAAAGTATTTTGACTCCTAATTCAAATTTATTATTCACAGTCTATTTGTTGTATGTGTGTTTTTAGTTAGGATTATTGGTTATTCTGTTAATGTCATGTTTATCCTTAAACATCCTTCCTCACTACATGATTTGTCACAGTTCTATAATAACCAGATTTGAGGGCTCTGTGCCAGAAATGTATATTGGCTATACGTTAAGATGTTATTTGTGTGTTTTTCCCCCAATAGGCCTCAAAAATCCCAGTCAGACTCTATTCTGTTTGCACAATTCCTCTTTTAAAATCAAATTTTCTTCGTAGTATTTTGTCCTTAGAAAGTATCAATAAACATGGTTTTAATAAAACAAGCAAAACACACATAGACCAGATTTTGGTCTTGAAGAGGCATGGTTAAGATCAGTTCCTGTGATGTTGCCTTTTTATATACAGTCTATGGATGTCGCTCACCTCTCATGGCCTCTCACTAAAGCTGAAGGGATCAATCGGTGGTCTGGTCCTCCACACTTGGCTCCAAAGGATCAAGGTTCAAGTCTGTCCAGAGGCAACTTCATATTCCCACATTTTCTGCTCTAAACGGGTTCACTCACAAAACACACCACAAGCTTGTTTCCCTGTGCCCTGGGAAATCACAACAAGCTGTTTTAGCTCCATGTGTCACAGGTTTGGCTTTTGTTTGACACTTAATTTGTACAGCTTGTTTGACACCATTATTTATTCATGTACCAGTTGTTGGATGTTCTCGTTAAGTTTATTTATGCAGGAACAAACATTTTGTCAAACATATCAGGTGACTTGCAGTGATTCCAGATTGTCACTACTCAGTTTATACTTACTTCTTACTTAGATATTGGATGATTTCCTTTATAGAACCACAAAAACATCCTGATCTGGGTGGAAACTGTGTACTGTATGAAATCGATTAAACACATTAAAATCAGAGCGGTTTTTGCCTTCAGATTTGTGAGTTTCAGCAAGAGAGATCCCTTGGGGTTGGAGAAATGTAATTCCCCTTTCATGCTGTCTGAGGTGGCATGAGACCGGAGGTAAACCACCTTTATAGGTCATGTGATGCGTGGGTCATCTTGAGGCCCGCACAGTGGATCACCAGGATCAAACAGTCTTTGACAATCTTGATTTATGGATGCTGAAAGGCAACAGGACTTCCATGGTTACACATACAGTAGAGGAGACCTTTTACACGGCAGTAAGTGACTTGCAACTTTTAACTTAACGATGTCTCAGTTAAGAAGGTAAAGCAGTAAAATGATGATGGGTCCCATAACTCTAAAACTGAGTAGTTACTATGCTGGGTGGTAAATTCCACCCAGAATCAGGTCAGTTTGAGCTCTTTGTCAAGTTATTTAGTT